AGAGAGAAAGATACAGGGAGGGGGATAAAGATAGATGGAGGAGGGAGAGTGGGAGGGTGTCGCGAGTGTGTCTAACCTAGGATAGTGGCGTTTAGTGGCGGCTAGGCTAGGCAAACCGAGACTCGCTGTTCGCGCGTTACGTTCGGTTATTATTCCCTTTTCGTGCTTTGCTTTTTGTTATTTTTTTGGTCATACGTACGTTGGATTTTTACTTCTTAAATTTTTTTTTTTTTTTTTTTAACTGAAAAAAATAAAACTCAAAGGAGAGAGATAAATAGAGAGAGAGAGAGAGAGAGAGAGAGAGAGGGTGTGTGTGAGAGAGAGTGATAATATATATATATATATATTTATTTATTTATTTACAATTGTATATACCACGTGTACGTTTTTATACAACATTTGTTTTCTATTCTTTTTATATATAGATATATGTATGTAAATGTGTATACATGTGTTAGATAGCCATATATATATATATAAATTTTGTATCAAATTTCACGGTGGTATAGTGTCGCGCGTTTAGTTTGGTGTGAACTATGAAAAGAGGTTTTAGTGAAGAAGGAGGTGGTGGAGGAGGTGGAATAAAAGGAAGAAAAGGGTGATAGGCAGTGTTGGAAATTTTATTATTATAGAAAAAAATATATAATTACGTTATTATTATTATTTTTTTTTTATATTATTTATGTTTTGTTATTTAGTTTATTTTTTACTTTTCTATTTTGTTCTTTAAAAATTCTATCTTTTTTTTTTTAATTTTTTATTTGGTCCTTGTTATATATATATATATTTTTTATTTATGATTAGTATAATTAAGGGGTGCATATTTTTAATAATAAGATATACGAGAAAGAATATGTTTTATTTTTTTATTTTTTATTTTTTTATTTTATTCTCTCTCTCTCTCTCTCTCTATTTCTCAGTTTCTTTTTGTTTTTGTAACGTAACAGTTAAATTATATTATTTTATTTCAATGCGTAGTAACAGGAAGTGACATATAACAGTGAAGGAAGAAAATCGGTGGGACGAAGTGAACGAACACATTATCTGATATATATAATTGTACAACACTATTTAAGTGTCCTATTTGTTTTTCTATTTGTTGAACTATTTCTTTCTCCATTTTCACACATTTGATAATATTTTATTTTATCATTCTTTCTTCTCCCAATTATTACGATACTTTGTAAAACATTTACAACGTATACAAATACAATTAACGAATGAATAATTTGTATCTATCCGAAATTAGTGCATTTATTTCAAATGTGTATATATTTTTATGATACATAAAAACAAAAAACAAAAAACAAAAAAGAACAATGTTTATCAATTACATTTCTCTCTCTATTATTTTTCATAGTTATTAAATCAATTTGATAGATATCGCGAAGAAAGTTATTACGGTACTTAAAAAAAAAAAATACTTTCGTGTGAATCAGGAAAAAGGACATTTTATTTTCTTTCTCTCTTGTTTTTATTTAAGTAGTTAAGGAACTAGAAAAAAAAAGACAAAGATATATATCTATACACATATGTATGTGCGTGTACGTGTACTCGCGAGTGTTTTTGTGTAAGCAAACCCTTGAAATATAGTGCCTTTTATACCAAGTGTCGTACCGGACAGTTAAAGTGGAAAGAGACCGACAGACAGGTAGACACATACAGACAGACAGAAAGAGATAGAGTTAAAAAAAAAAGAAAGTAAAAGAGAGAGAGAGAGAGATAGAGAGAGAGAGACAAAGAAGAAAGAAGAAAGATTGTGTTAGAGATTTTTTTTGTGTGGACTTGCATCTTGAGATAAAGTGTTGCACCCGACGCTATGCAAGTGCGTTTTAGTAGTGCACTTGAGTTATATCTATGTACACTACGTTTACGATCAAATTTGTAAACAAATTGTGTTGAACATTTTTTGTTTTCTATTACTTCGTATAGAACAAGGGGGGAAAAGAAAGGAAGTAAAAGAAGAATAAGAGGAATAAGAAGAAGAAGAAGAAGAAGAAAAAGAGGAAGTATGAAAGTTGAGAACATTTTCATGATATTATTACAGAAATTATAGATAACTAAAGTGCGTGGAAAATTGCATCGTTTTCATGCTAGGAACGTGTTTGTTTGTTTATCTTTACGAATCGTTACGTTTCTAACGCTTTCAACTAGAAATATACACATAAAGAAAGAGAGAAAAAGAGAAGGAGAGAGAGAGAGAGAGAGAGAGAGAGAGAGAAGAGAAGAGAGAGAAGAGAGAAGGGAGAGACAAACAAACAAATTATTTGAAGAAATCAAGGAAATTTTGTGAGACTTGTTCGATGGTGTTGAGGTGTAGTAAAACTAAAGTTCAAAAATAAGTGTTATAGTTACTATTTTAAGTTATCCAATTGATTTGGTTGTATGCATTTTTATTTTTCTTTTATCATCTGTGGAAGAATTATCTAAAAATATTGTTGGTGATCCTTGATAGAAGATATTTGTTTTTGTCACGTTAAGGATTCCTCATATTTTTGTGGTAAGTTTACTACTTAAATTCAACTTACTACTCAAATTTCAATGAAATTTTTATCCTGTTATGTAAAAAAGGGAAATTTTTCTATTTAATTAAGTTGTGTTTTTTTTAATTATTTATTAATTATTTTTTATATATTTAATTATGCTTAAAATAAATGAAAAAAACCATAGTTTATATATATATATATATATATATATATATATTTTCGTTTATTTATAATATAAATTACAAAGATTCGTACCTTCAACTTTAAACCAATACGTTTGACGTATTTATACCTCCCACCCAGTTAACAGGTTAAACAATAAAAAAACCCATTTTTTTTTTATAATAAGTCAATTCAATATTACACCATAAAAAAGGAAAATTTTATTCTATAAATTATTGATATTGGTGATGGTGGAGTAAAAGAAGGGGATTGGGTGACGAGGAAGAAATATAAATATAAAAATAAAAATAATAAGAGAGAAAAAAGAAAAAAAGGAAGAAACGTCGATTTAACGCGATGGTGATTACCTAATAGAATCCTTTCTTTCTACGAGAGAAAATGAAACTCTCGTTAAGTGGCGAAGGTACGCGAAGCAAAGCAAGCAAGCAAAGCAAGTAAGCAAGAGTTAGGTATTTCACTGCCGGTGAAAATAAACGACTCTCTTCTGGCGGTAATCGCATACGATCGAGGAAGTGATCGAGCATTATAGTTCGGTGTACCACAGGGTGTTGACTTACGAAAAAAAAACCTTCTCTCTTAAACTTGTACACTGCGTTAACTTATATTCTTCCTTTATTTATTTATTTATTTATTGAATTTTTTTTTTCTTTACCCCCTCCCCCCTCGCTGGTTTTTTCACAACGTTCACGAACGTTTGATTTTTATTTCTACTTTTCCACGACCTTTTATTTTTATTTTTTACGATTAATTAAAATTTTATTATTATTAGTATTGTATTAATATTTAATCGAAGTTAATTATTTGATCGAAGATTTGTGAATAATATATCGAATTAATTCTTATTTTAATTTTATTTTCTGTTTTTATTTATTTATTTTTCATTTATTTTATTTTTAATTTATTTTACTTTATCATATTTTATTTTATTTTATTTTATTTAAATTTATTCTTTTTATTTTTACTATTTAAATTGGAGATAAATCAATCGTCTATAATTTTTTTTTTTTTTTTTTGTAATTTTTGTATTTAATTTAATTTTTGTAAGATGATATCTATTTGATATAAATTTTACGATTAAAATTCATATTATTATTATTTTTTACTTTTATTATAAATTTTGTCATTATTTATTATATTAAAAATATTATAAAATATCAATTAAATATTATCACGTATTATCCATAAATATATCAAAAGTTTAATTATGTTTTTTTTTTAATGAAAACTTGAAACGAATAATTATGAATAAATTTGTTTAATAAAAAAAACACTCTTTCTACTTTTATCTCTCTCTCTCTCTCTCTCTCTTTGTAAAATCATTTTTTTTTTTTTACTTTTCTGTGATCTCATAAACATCGTAGAACGCATACGGTGCACAGAATAAATGCGTTTCTGTCCGTCTTGCGTACTCGTACAGGCGAAAATAAGACGCACAAACTATATTTTGTACACGTATTTTCAGCCTAGGCTAACCTTCGGACACTGAAATTACATGTTTCTCTTTCTCTCTCTCTCTCTCTCTCTCTCTCTCTCTTTTTCTCATATGTATATATATATATATACACATATACATACTTCATCAAATCATTTCTTTGGCTTGTAACACCAAATGACCTTTTAATATATTAAACTTTTTCTATTCTTTTGATTACTTTAACTATAAAATTGATCTGTGTTGATTTAATCATTTATTTTACATTTCAAATGTGTTATAATAATATATATATGTATATAAAAAGAGAGAGAGAGAGAGAGAGAGAGAGAGAGAGAGGGAGGAGAATAAAAATGAATTTAATTAAAATTTTCTCATTTATTGGATAATTATTAAATCAATACGTACATTAATTATATATATATATATTGATAGAATAATTATTATATTTAATTAGGATTTAATATTTAAACATATTTAAATGTGTACGTATGGAATTATTTTCTATTTATATCTGAATATACTTTTATAAGTATTACAAAATTAATTAATTTCATTTTTAATCATAAAGAAAAGATATATATATATATATATATATATATATTTTTTTTTTCATTAACTAGAGATTTTCATATTTTAATTAACATATGAACACACACATATACGTATCATATATAAATATCAGTAATCTTATACAATTCATTAATTATTAAATAAAAATATAAATATACGCACGAGATGGTTTATGAAAAGTCTTTGATTTAAATACAATCATTAAATTATTAATTATTAATTATATTTTATTATTAATAATTATATTATTAAATATAAAAAGAAAAGTTAAAAAAAAAAAAAAGAAAAATTGAAAATATTCGCGCGCAAAGTTCTTTCTATATCGTTTGATTCTCCTTCTACCATCACCACTACCACCCCCACCACAACCATCACCACTGGTTCTTTCTTATTCATCGTCGACCGGTTACGTGGCGACCTTCAAAGCGCTCAGGGCCGAGGGCCAAAACTGTCCGTGGTGTGTGTACGTGTATGCGTATATACATATGCATACGTATGCGTTCGTGCGTTTAGTATTACGCTGGTATACGTTCAATAAATATCACGGTGGCGTGTTATAAGGGCCCCGTAGCCTCGCGGCCCATATATACAATTTCGAGTGTCCCTGACAAAAAAAATCATATACTCTTTTTTATTATATATATATATATATACTTTCTTTTACTCCGACTCTTATTCCTTCTCTTATTCACTCACTCACTCACTAACTCATTTTCAAATAATTTCGATCAGACTTTCAATATCGCATCGAGGAACGAGTTAAGGACGAGTTTTGGGAACCTTGAAGGTGGACACGACTGGTTGGGTAAAAGTAAATGACCTTACGTCGAGAGTATGCTTGGATAAAAAAGTACGAGAAGGAATGGTGGGACACGCATGTTCACTCACACAAATATATATTCACGCAATCACGCATACACACACACACACACACACACACATACACAAATATATATACATAGTATTACACAAACTGTGATATCTTATAACTATAAAAGTGGTATACGTGTGACCTATCCTCACAAGATTGGGTTCTACGAACCCAAATTGGGCCAGGGCCTTGACTCTCGTATAAAATTTTAGCAAAAGAAAAAGAGAGTGTTATAACCGAGGTTCTGCACCAACTCATCCCCCWCTCCCCCCTCTTCCTCTCCCTCCCTCCCTCCCTCCCTCACCTCTTTTTTCGTCATCGTTGTTCCCCCGATTCTTCCCCTTCCATCTTCATCTTTCCCCCTTACCCTCACCCTCACCCTCCTTTTTTTATCTACCTTTCCCTTCCCTTTCCTCTCTCTCTACCTTTTTCCCTTTACTTTGAAACTTTATTTTTGATGGGCCAAAAGCATGGCAAGTAAATACGTGACCTTCGAAGAGTAGTGCGAGAAACCCATTGCTGATGTTCTTTTTCTTATTATAGTGTGGTTGGTACAAGTAGTAGTTAAGTATAGTCTTTTATTTAACTATAATATGGTTGTTCAAAAGGTAAAAAGAGATCTTTAATAAGAAACGTTGGTTTGTCCAACCTATGGTTATTTAGCGTGTTTTTGTGGATTTTTGTATGTGTATGTGTATTGTTTTGTGTGTTGTTAACGTGACGTAATATTGTAAGTGTGTTTGTGCTAGCCCTGCGTAGGTCGCCTCCGGGGACCATGAAAAATACGGTCATGGTCAGGGACATTAACAACGAGGTGTATCTTTCAATATCTTTTTATTCGTTTGTTTGTTTGTTTTTTTTTTCTTTTTATTTTATATTTTTAGATTTTTAGATTAAATATATGTTAATTTATACTTTCGCAAATTTATTTTTATCTTTATCGTTGTTTACTTTAATATATTTTTTGTTTTTTTCGATATTTTTAGATTAAGATGATTTTTATAGAATTTGTTTAGATTATAAAAAAAAATTGTTGTTTCAGTTATTTTATAATATTTTATATTTACATCTAATTGTATTAAATTTAATTAATTTTTTAATAGAGTAATTTTTTTTCTTGTTTTTTATTAACAAATTCATTTTTATTTGCAAGTTCTTTGTTTTTTGTTTTGTTTATCAGAAATAAATTCTTTAACGATTAAAGTAGTTTCACGTGTTACTTATAAGTATAAATATACTTTATATTTAGAATTATGTATTTATATAATATCATTATTATTATAATCATCATGTAATAAATAATAATCGTATATTGCATATATATAATAATAATAATAATAATAATAATAATAATAATAATAATAATAATAATAATAATACTAAATATATATAAGAAAATAATAAAAATAATTGCAAGTACATTTATCAAGGACACGATATATGCAATATTTGTCAAATAAAAAAAAGTATATAAATACAATAATAATTTTTTCGTAATAAATCAACTAACAATTTAATTATTGCAAATACATGCATAATATGATTAATTAATGTATTAATTATTGTATTAAAAGAAAAATATATATACAACATCATAGATTAGAATATTTTATAAAACATATTACGTGTTGTACCTTTCTTTTCTATAAAAAATATATTATGTAACATATTATTATATAATAAAAATTATTACAATTTGTGATGATGATAATAATAATAATAATAATAATAATAATAATAATAATAATAATAATAATAATAATAATAATAATTTAGAGGAAGAAAAAAAAATAATATACTGAATTCATCATATGAATAATATTATACAAGAATTATTTATTAATATATTTATTTAAATTGTTCATTAGTTAGATTTGATTGAATAATTTAATTATTTAATAATAATGAATAATATTATATAATAATTATTTATTAATATATTTATTTAAATTATT